TGTATTGATTTCAGAGAGAGGAAAGGAGAGGGAGAGAGAGATAGAAACATCAATGATGAGTCATTGATCTGCTGCCTCCTGCACACCCTCTGCTGGGGATCGAGCCGGCAACCAGGGCATGTGCCCTGGCCTGGAATTGAATCGCAATCTCCCGGATCCTAGGTCAATGATCAACCTCTGAGTCATGCCTGACCAGGCGACAAAGTCATTTTTATAACACACAGAAGAACACTAGAATACCACCGTCAGAGGACAAGAGTTGTATGTGGTAAAATGAAACGCACTGTATTCTATCTGGTAAACAGGATTTGACCCACAGTATAATTGAAACTGTGACATAATAAAGTGCTTTAAGATGGTCCTTACCGTAAATGCAAAATAATTTAAATGTTTTAATCTAATCTGTAACATACAATCTGGCATTTATCTCTGTCTCTGCCTTCTGCCCATCGTAAGTCTCCCCACTTCTCCCTCTTAAAATCTCCCCAAATTTTCACAAAGAAGACAGCAAAGTGTGAGACTGCTGTTCCAGACACTCTTATATACCATTACAAAGTTTTGTGCTTTTTTCTTTTATCTGTTTAAAAGGAACAAACAGTTCCCTAGTATTATAAAAGATAATGACAAAGTTGTATTTAGTCTACTCATTCTAGTTCCTTAGGTAATTCAGGACTAATATCAGCATAGTGCTTGAGGGGAAATTTTCTCCAACCAAACTCCTTTCCCTTATTATATTAACACATAGAAGTGGTCACTACATTGACAAAATGTGTCTCACGGAATACTGCAAGGTTTAAAACTAACAAGGTGATTATATAACTCTGGTCACCGATGACCTTAACATGACAACACCAGAGCAGATGCCAAGAAAGGCAACGAAGGTTAGTGGACGGGAGTCACTTATTTAGTTTAGGAAGAGAAAATGTGGAAGATAAAAAAACAAAACCTAAAAATATTTCAAAATTCAAATCAAACAGAGAAGAATCTGTTTTGACCTTGTGAGTCAATTTTCTTCTAAAATGGAACAGAGCCCAGCCGGGCGTGGCTCAGCGGTTGAGCGTCGACCTAGGATCCAGGCGATCAGGGTTCAATTCCCGGTCAGGGCACATGCCCGGGATGTGGGCTCGATCAATGACTCTCTCATCATTGATGTTTCTATCTTTCTCTCTCCCTCTCCTTTCCTCTCTCTGAAATCAATAAAGATATATTTTTTAAAATAAATAAATAAATAAAATGGAACAGAGGTTTGAAAAGAAGTTTGGATACTTATACTAAGAAAGTTATAAACAACTTACCATAAAGAAAAGACCATTAGTACAGGAATATAGTAGAAACCCCTATCTTATCTAACTCCCTTTGTATTTTCATGTATATTACTTAAGCCTAGCAAATTAACAAATCATTAAACCATCAAAAAAGCTTCCTAAGTTTGACTTTTCTTAACTTCACTTTCCATACTATTAGTACTACTTTCCCAGAAAATGTTACTTGATGGCTTTGAGACAATAGTTTTTAAAACAAATAGGGCCTTTCTTTTTACTTTTTCACTAGCATTCACCAAAAATAACTGTCACCGTAAGCTGCCATTTATACCACAAGCAGCAGATTTGTCAGTGTTCACATTCTTACCAAATTCAGCAACGATAGAGGCAAGGCCGCCATATACAAAGGGTTTCCAATTCAGACCAGACATCTCATGGCTTACAGTGTCACTTTTCTGGTGCTAAAAATAAACACAAATCAGAACAAGGCACAAGAGTGAGGAGCATCTGTCAGTGTCTGATCACATAATTTACATCAACGAATTTGACAGACGTAGAGGAAAAACCCTACCAAATGGAATGACACAAAATGGGGGATCCTCTTTTATGTGGTAGATGATTATGAATATGTTTTTACTGCCATGTAGGGGCAGGCATGAGAATCACTTAAAGATCAACCTGTGCCCTTAATTCTCTCCAGTTTCTTTAATGTTATCCCCATCCCCACCCAAAGGAGAGGTTTCAGGCCGTCCAGCACACCCAACTCAGACATTCAACTAGACAATTACTAGTAAAGGAACCTGGAGTTGAAATTATATAGGCTGAGGCATCTCATAAAAGCAGTTCATGGCATTCAGTCACATTAATTCGGGTGCAAAGCCCAGGCTGACACCACTACCCTCTCATATTGCTTGGCCCTCTCATCTTGCTACTAAACTTTAGGGGTTTAGTTCATCTAGCTCATTCTAGCTATTCACAACCTCCCCCCACTAGGCCCAGGCTGAGTTAAACACCTTTTCGCCTTCCTTCTGGTTCCCAGAGGAATGACAGCAATATTGCGTCTCTCTTCTCTGCAACATGTAACATCCACACATCCAGTGAATCTCTTCCCTGGCCTTTTAAAGCACATGCCTACAAACACTGTTTTTCCTTGAAGTTCAGGTTCTTTAATAATGTGTTCTGCTCTTCATCTCCCTTTCCTCCTTTCTCATCCCACCCCCAGTAGACTTGTCATCTTCAATCTTTTCAACTTTTTTCCCCTGCCACTCTCGGCTATCTCTCTTGAATTTTTCCCCCACAGCTCTGCCCTCTACATCAGTGGTTTTCAATTTTAATGTGCACCAGAATTATCTGGAAGGTAGATTTAAAAATAGATCGTTGAGCCTCACCCTCAGGGTTTCTGATTGGTGGTCTGGGTCTGGCCTGAGAATCTGCAAGTTTCCAAATAATGCTGATGCTTCCACACGTTAAGAACTACTGCTCTAGGCATCACCTACTAAATCCTGGTACAGCTGGAAAAAGTCTTTTCTTAAATTGGACTCTCAGATTTCTTTAAATATTCCTTTGTCAGAGTTTCACGGATGTATACTATTGAATTTCAAAAGCAACTTCAAGTAGTTTATGGTCAGGAATGAAGACTGAAGTGAGACTGCCAAGGTTCAAATCCTGACACCACCACTTACTGGTTCTGTGATCTTGGGCAAGTTACTTAACTGCTCTATGCCTGGGTTTTTTGAACTATAGAATGGGGATAATAAAAACTATAGGGTTGTTTTGAAAATTAAATATAATGTAAAACACCTAGAAAAGTACTTGGAACCTAGTTCAACAACTATTAGCTTTTACCATTATTACATTTTGAAAAGTTAAGTACTCCAATATACTTTCTCACAGATATTACTTGCTGTCCACTTCCTCCATTGCCCAATCTGGGGTTAGCACCATTGAGTCACAGTCTCTTTTTAGTGGAGGCAAGGTTTTGCTTTGTTTCCACATAAGGAGTTCTCTGTAACTAAGCACAGAACAATTTTCCAGAGAGGATAGCAAACTGCAGACAAATGTTTTAGTTAGAGGTCACAAAAATAATTATGCAAATTTCCTTTCAAGCATACTGTGATCAGCCAGTTCATCTGACATAGAGTCTGGGGTAGATAGCTCTTCTGGAGGAAAGTTGTTGAAACGGATTTTAAAAAGCAAAGTAGGAATACGTACTTCACATAGCTACAGCTTAAAATTAGAGTCTTGGGTACTAAATGCAATCTTATTGACATTTTCAGCTATGCCCAAATTTTAATATTACAATTGATAGCAAAGCATGACACACACAGTGAGAGGGTAGACATGGAAAAGCAAGAAGCATGGCATATCCCATCTCTGAGTTTGTGGGGAAAATGCCCTCTCCACTGACCAATTTATAGATCCCCTAAAACACTCAAACATTTCAAATGGCTGCTATGCTTCTCTCCAAAGCTTTCTCTTTACAAATTCTTTAAATCTTCTCATTATGAGAGAAAGCTTCTATCAGGATTTTACTACCTGCTACCCAGTATTTTAATAAGGAAGATATGCTCAGGGTTCAGGGATCAATAACAAATCAGTTAAAGGCAGAGGGGCAGGGCCATAGCAGGTAGCAGAAAGACCAGTCACTGAATATTAGGTCAGTTGCCCAGTGGTTCCTTAATGAAGTTTTCACAATTCTGAAGTGAAATGAACAAAATAAGGGTACCTAGTTGTTGTTTTTTCAGCCAAATATATTTAATTTAAAGCATTATTAGGAAATAATGTTCTTCCAACATCTGGAACCGTTTTAAAATCATCTTTCCTGTATGAAATGCTAACAGTAGTTGGTAGTTAATTTTGCTTAGTGCCTTAACAAAATAAGACTGGTAACCCTAATTTGTGCCTCCTCCTCACGCGTTCATTTAAATGTTATTGGTCCATGAAATCCACTGGCCAAATTAACACTGCTTCCACTCCTACCTCCCCACTCCCATCTGATAGTAAAATCCCCTTCCCTCTAATATTAGGAAAGAATCTTGCTATGAAGAAGTCCTGTACTATCTTTAATTAGGTCTTAGATATTCCTTCCTCCTACTAAGCCAAAAGTCTGCCTTTGGGTCTATAGTTTTTGCCCATTTTTGGAGGTAATATTGAACAAATTTACTCTTTTCCCCTAGGAGAGTCCTTCCAATATTTAAAGACAGGTAATCACGTTCTCCTGCACCTTATCTCTTTTAGGCTACATAACCACAATCATTTTCATCATTATTATACTTCAATTATTACAGCTGAAAATTGCAGTTGCTTTTGTGGGGGCCGCATCACAGTACTGAATCATTAAAATGTCAGCTAACACCTCCAAGTCTTTTAATTAAGGCTATTCACAAGCATGCACGTTGTGTCATACCTATTCTACAGCTGTGCAATGTTCTCTCAGTCTTCATTTATCCCTTCTATACCTTAATCTCAGGTACACAAACAACGGCTAGGATGAGGTTTATCTTCTAGTTGCCCATGTTATTTTTTCTCGTAACTAGGTATGATCCCTGAAGCCAGAAACCATGTCTCACAGCACTTTTTATAACCCCTAAAAAAGCTTGCACAGAACTGGGTACGAGTGCATTAAATACATGGTTGGTTCCAATGTGGTGTGCTTTATCTATGTATGCAGCCTATATGTAAGAGATTACTAGAAAAAGCATGAAAATTAAGTTGCTGGACCTGACCAATACTACATACTCTATGTACAACACTTTGCTGATCCTCAGAGATTCTCTGCCTATTAATTCTCTTCCCTTGCTTTTGTTACAGAGAATTACTTGTGTAAAATACCCCAAGCATCTAACGATGTTTTTGACTTGTGGGAGCTATCTAGAAGTCATATCTGAGTTAAAATAAAAATAGAGTACCTTAAATATTTTTATTGTATAAAGAAGCCAATGAAAAATGTCTTCAAAATGCACACATGTATTCTGAAGTTTGACTAAGGAAAATCTGATATCCTAAAGACTGAGAAGAATGTCCTAAAAGACAAGTTACATAGCCCTACACTACTCCAAAGATTTGATCAGAAAAACCTGGGTGCCTTTCTTGCTTTCTCTTTTAAGAAAGAATAGGCATCAGATTCTTAGATTCAGGAGGTAATAATGGAGAGTCAAGCAAATATTTATTGAAGCGATATTAAATGCCCAAATCTGCAATGTGCTATGGTCTAAACATCATGTTAAAAAAAAACAAACAAAAAAAAACACAAAACAAGAACAAATGTTCTAACACCATGATAATATTTATCATTCAACCTATATTTCCTGGATAATGAAGGAGGATGAAGTAGGGATAAAAGTTCTATAAAATCCAGTGCATGCCTTTCAGGAACTTATAATCTGATAGGAGGAATCAGAGCAGCTCATTAAAGAAAAGTTAAGTACTAAACTATATAATGCAAACTATAAGAGCAAGATAAGCATGGAAAAGGAAACAATCCGCATGGGCTTGAATAATTTTGAAAGGCTCGTGGAGGTGAGAGAATTTAAAATGGGCCTTGACACAAGGCAGGTAGGAATCTGGACAGGTGTAGGAAAGGGAGAAGGCAGGGGGAGGAGAGCAGGATGAACAGAGGCACAAATGTGGGGAAAAGCATAGCACATGGAGGCAGGCATCAGCATGGCTTGTTCTGAGAAGGAAGAGTGCAACCTAAATGGAACAAAAAATTCCTGTATCTCACTGAAACAATATCAGTCAAGAAGTATAAGGAACAGGTGACGTTGAAACGGGCTTGAAACCAAAGTGTGTGGTGGAGTATGAGGGATACTGCAAAATTTTAAACAGGGAAGTGATCTGAGGAAATCCGTATTTTAGTTAGCCTACCACAGCTGCAGCAAACAGTGATTACAAACGGGAGAGGCAGGGAAACTAGCTTAGGATGGTGTGAAGTAAAGCAGACAAGGTGTTTGTTGGCAGCAAGGTTAGAGATAAACTCCTAAAATGGAGACACAAAGGAACTTGATGATGTAGGGAATGAAGGCGAGGGAGGAGTTCATGGTAACTCAAAGCATTCCTAGCCTGAAAAAACCAAGGAAACACTGACAGAAAACTACAAAGGTCCCTGCTTAGTACCTTGTCTGAGAAACTAATTCGTGTTGATAAAGGCTGTCATCACAATTAGTTATCTGAACTGCATTTTAATAGATGCCTTCAATGCCTTGACCTCAAGGAGTAGAAGGGGGTAGAAACTGAAAGGGAGCATCTCTCAACAGCACCCCTCACACTAATACAATGGAGGTGTTTGCTTACTCCGCTTACAATCACAGCCGCCGATGCAAACTTCACCCTTAGAAAAATTAGGATTATTCCGGGAAAGATACCCATTCACCCTCTGGGTAGCAGGATCTTGCCAGTTCCTCAGCTGTCAGAGCGAGTTCGTGAAGAGAAGGGAGGCGCCTGAAGGAGGCGGCCTCCCAGGGGGGTCGAGGAAGCAGGGTTCAATCGAAGAAGGAAAACCAACGATGCCAGAAGAGTGAAAGACAGGGAAGGGACTCAGCTGAGGGGAGAGAGAGACCAGAGGACCGTTAAGCCCCTCCCAGGCCGGGAGCCAGGCCAGCCCGGCCCCGCGCGGCCTGGCGCGGCCCAGCCCCGCTCCCCAGCCTGGAAGTCCAGGAGCTCCCCCTCACCTGCTCGGGCTCATCGGACGACTGGGAAGCCGAGGCTCCNCTGGGAAGCCGAGGCTCCCACAGTCGGAAACGCCACCGCAGCGCCAACCCGGAAGCATTGAAACCAACGGAAGTAACCAAGCTGTTGCCCTGGCAACGGTGGCGCAGGCATTCCCACTCCACCTCCTTTGATCCCTAAAAAAGAAGGCGCAAAATGAGCGGCGAAAACAACAGG